ACAATTTGGAGTCATAAGCAGCTGGAACGAGGACACCTTTATGCAGTGTTTCCCAGCCTCAGCAACGTTTAAGATGTACAGACTTCAACTCCCAGGATTCCCCCAACCAGCCATGCATCTTGGCTAATTTAAAATGTGTGGACTTCAGCGCCCAGAATTCCCCCAGCCAGCTGGCTTTTCATAATAACTTTGACCCTAAACCAGGGGTAGGCAACCTTGGCTCTTTTATGACTGGTGGACTTCAACTCCCAGAATTCCTGAACCAGCCACGCTGAGGGGAAAGGGAGAGGTTTCCAAGCTGAGCCAGGCTGGCTCAGGAATTCTGGGAGTTGAAGTCCATGAGTCATAAAAAAGCCGAGGTTGCCCACCCCTGCCCTAAACCAAACAAACCATTGTGTTGGCGCATCTCCTCACCTACAAAAGCAATCCAGGTTACAAACTAACCAGATTTAGCATGCTGTAGGAAGATACTTGCAAAGGTTGGTAATTTGTGTTTGCAACATCGCCTCTGTAATGTCCACCGCTTGAGGCTGTTTTTCTCTGGAGGAGAAAAAAAGTCTTCCTTTCCAGAAAGAGAAAAAATTGAAAATAAACCACCAACATTTATACCAGGAAGTGAAAGGAAGAAAAGAAAAAAAAATGATTAGCTCCAAATGTGAGGTAGGAGACTTAGAAATTGGGATCATTTAAAACAGTGGTTCTCAAGCTTTTTAATGCCACGACCCCCCAACTGGTCGTAAGTCGAGGACTACCCAACTGGTCGTAAGTCGAGGACTTTCCCTGCCAGGGAGCGCTGCGCATGCGTGGTGCCGCCCCCTGCGCCGGCCGAGGCGTAGCTGGCAAGCGGCAGAGACAGCGCAGGCCGACCACCGGCTGGGCCACCAGCTGGCCCAGCCCAAGGAAGGTAAGGCACCCGCCGGGCCCCAAGCGCGCCAGCAACCCTCCCTGTGCCCCCCCCCCTGGCCCTCTTTTACTTACATTTTTAGTAGTTGCTCAGCAGGGAGGGGTGGAAACTTCCAGACAGCTCGCCTTCGCTGCAGACAACTTGCAGCACTGTTTGCAAAATGGGACTTTTGGCGGGCTCAGCAGGCAGAGACATCCTGGACAATTCCCATTGGCTTTTGAAAGCCAATAGAGTTAGACTCTATTCAAGAGAGTCTATTCTATTGGCTTTCAAAAGCCAATAGAATAAAAGGGAGTAGCACAGCTAAGGAAAAAGGGAAAAAATGGCGGACTGCATTGTTTGGCGACCCCCGTGAAATGGTCGTTCGACCCCAAATGGGGTCCCGACCCACAGGTTGAGAACCACTGATTTAAAACCTGGAAATGACAAAGATTAAACGTTAAACTTAAATATCAATGGCAAATTAAAGTTAAGAAAAACTTACTAGGTTATTGTCTAAATAAAAGGTGGAATATCAAATTAATTAAGATATGTATAGACTGAAGATTATTGATGCATATTAGAAAGGTATGTTTTGTTTGAATAATAGAATAAGAACTGTATTGGTTTGAACATGGCAGTAGATATCATGGGGGAAAGAGAGGGAATTAGTTTGTTGTAATAATTTGAGATTTGTACTGATGATATTCAAATGTAACGGAATTACTGTGCTCAGCCGCCACGCTACTTTTCAAATATGTAAATGTAATATTGTAAAATTAATAAAAAAAACTTGAAACTGAAAAAAAGTCTTCCCTACCTTTTGATTATGATGTTGTGACTCTAGAACAGGGGTCTTCAAACTTGGCCCTTTTATGATTTGTGGACTTCAAATCCCAGAATTCCTCAGCCAGGCGGAATTAGAGGACTGGGGGCTAAAACAAATGAAGAACGGTTGCAGGAATTGGGTATGTCCAGTTTAATGAAAAGAAGGCCTAGAGGTGACATGGTGGCTCTCTTCCACTATTTGAGGGCTGCCCCAAAGAAGAGGGAGTCAAGCTATTCTCCAAAGCACCCGAAGGCAGGACAAGAAGCAATGGATGGAAACTAATCAAGAAGAGAAGCAACCTAGAACTAAGGAGACTTAGTTAGAATGACTTGCCTCTAGTAGTTGTGAATGCTCCCAACACTGGACGTTTTTAAGAAGAGATTGGACAGCTACTTATCTGAAATGGTGTAGGGCTTCCTGCCTGAGCAGGGGGTTGGACTAGAAGACCTCCAAGGTCCCTTCCAACTCAACTCAACTCTTCTCTTCTCTTCCCTTCCCTTCCCTTCCCTTCCATTCTTTTATTTTATCATTATTCTATTCCATTCCATTCCATTTGTCTGAAATGATATAGGGTCTCCTACCTGAGCATGGGGCTGGACTAGAAGACCTCCAAGATCCCTTCCAACTCTGTCATTCTGTTATTATCCAAGACCATCTTCCAATTAGTTGCTCTGCCAAAGGAGACCAAATAAGCAACTATAAGAGACCGAAAATGGTTTTTCACTGGCGCTTGCAACACATCAACCGCAGGCAGGCCCATTAGGCATCATTTTATGTTCGAAATTACATACAGATAGTCCTCAGCTTACAACCACAACTGAGCTAAAAAAAGTATGCTGCTAAGTGAGATAACTGTTAAGTGAGTTACGCCCCATTTTATGACCTTTCTTGGCATGGTTGTTAAGTGAGTCACTGCAGTTGTGAAGTTAGCCATGGACTTTGCTTGCCGGAAGCTCGCAATGTGATTCTGGGACACTGCCACGGCCATAAATACGAGTCGGTTGCCAAACATTTGGACTTTGATCACATGACCCTGGGGATGCTGCAAAGGTTGTCACTGTGAAAAACAGTCCTAAGTTCCTTTTTTCAGTGCCGTTGTAACTTTGAACGGTCACTAAATGAACTGTTGTAAGCCGAGGACCACCTGTATACAGGACAGCTAGACCTTCACTTCGAACTTTAACGGAGCCCAGAATTATTCTCATAGATTATGCTGACCAACCTGATTTTGTGATATTTTTTGTGGGAGTCGTCAAGCTCACATGGCAGTCACACAAAGCAAATGCCCTGGCTGTTAAACAAACACTGCAGTCATTATGTGAACCGGTTGTTCATAACAGGTGTTTCTGTTAGAGAACCAGAAGCCACTACGGGGTTACAGTAACAAAAGTTGTAAATCATGACCATGGGACACTGTGAATGGCTGTAAATGTTAAAACTACCACATCTGGAACTCAAAAGCACCAATTTTCTCATTTAGCCATCATTTGCAGTCCTCTGGATTTTTGCCACCTGAACCTGGCAACCCCAGTTGTGTGCAGTGTGGCTCTCCCACAATTTGAGAAACGCAATGCACGAGGAGGACTGTTTTTTAATCGTTTTTCGCTGAGTTGCTTACTGCTTCCCCGTAATGAAATATTGCAAGCGACGCATGACTGCATGTCATCTTAGCGGATCTCTGCTTGTGCCAGGCACTAGCACATTAACCAGACTTGACCAAATTAATCCAGTTAAGTAGCTCAAACATACACCGGAGCAACACACGCTGCAACACAAGGCGCAGAATGGTATATGCATGTATGTACGTGTACAAAGAGAACATCTGCAAACAAAGCGATGCAAGTTAAAAAAAGTGGCTAGTGAGTTTGTGGCTCAGGGTGCCTGGACTGTAAACGAAACAGAGCATTGTAGGAACTCTGGCAAAGGGATAATTCAGTGAGCCGTGGCTTAGAATAGAGTTGGAAGGGACCTTGGAGGTCTTCTAGTCCAGCCCCCCCCCGCTCAAGCAGGAGAACCTATACCATCTCAGACAAGTGACTGTCCAGTCTCTTCTTAAAAATCTGCAAGAATAATAGAATAGAATAGAATAGAATACAATACAATACAATACAATACAATATAATACAATAGTTGGAAGGGACCTAGTCCAACCCGCTGCTCAAGCAGAACCTATATCATTTCAGACAAGTGACTATCCAGTCTCTTCTTAAAAACCTCCAGTTATGGAGCGCCCAAGAATAATGGAATAGAATAGAATATAGAATAGAAAATAATAATAGAATAGAATAGAAAATAGAAAATAATAATAGAGTAGAGTAGAATAGAATAGAATAGAATAGAATAGAATAGAAGGGACCTTGGAGGTCTTCTAGTCCAGCCTCCTGCTCAAGCAGGAGAATCTATACCATCTCAGACAAGTGACTGTCCAGTCTCTTCTTAAAAACCTCCAGTGATGGAGCACCCACGATTTCTGAAGGCAAGCTGTTTCCCCAATTGTCCTCATCCTCGACTTACAATCACAATTGAGTCCACAATTTCTCTGGTTAAGTGAGACATTTGTTAAGTGAGTTTTGCCCCATTTTGCGACCTTTCTTGCCTCGGTTGTTAAATGAATCACTGCAGTTGATAAATTAGTAACCCAGTTGTTCACTGAGTCTGGCTCCCTCACTGACTTCGCTTGTCAGAAGGTCGCAAAAGGGGATCACGTGACCTTGGGACACAGCAACGGTCGTTAAGTATGAACCTGTTGCCAAGCCTGTGAATTTTTGATCACATGATCGTGGGGATGGCTTGCAAAGGTCATAAGCGTGAAAAACGGTCGCAAGTCCCTGTTGTAACTTTGAAACGAACTGTGGTCAGTCGAGGACTACCTGTCTGTTTGCAAACACACCCTGAACCATCCTTTGCCCAGCTTCCTATCAGCAGCAGCCTGTCGTGTGAACCCAGCTGCTGTACGGGTCTGCCTCTTTGGGGGTCCTGAGCGCCAGGAACACCCGTGGGAACCTTCCTGCCTCTGGAATGCACGGACTTCTGGGTTTTATTTCCCGAAAGCAGCACCTCGGGGCGAGGGCAGCGCACCGGCAGCGTGTGAACCTTCCCCGCCCGCGGAGCGCGGCTCCCTCCCGCCGCTGCCCCCTCCTTCGAGGGCAGGAAAGGCCCTGACCGTTGCCAGGACAACGGAAACCTCCGCTTGCCCTTGGCAACAATCCTGTCAAGGGCTGCTCTCTCTCTCTCTCTCTCTCTCTCTCTCTATCCCATCATGCCCAGCGCCCTACAGGTCCGGCCGCTTGACAGTTGCGCTCCCACCTCGCGCCCTCGCTCTCCCTCCCTCTCTCTCTCTGGGGGGGGGGGAGGAGGAAGAGACGCGCGAGGCTCCCAAGGGGCGTGGCTCAAGGAGACAGGGGTCCCCCTCTACCCAATCAGGGACCACATCGCCTGCTCTATTTTTTTTTCTTTCTTTCTTTTTTTTAAAAAAGCCTCGGCCGGGCCCCGCCCCCTCCTTTTCCTTTCCTTTGCCGGCTCTACCGGGCTCGAGCATGGCCCCTCCCCCTCTCCGGCCAAGTTGGGTGAGGAGGAGGAGGAGGAGGCGGCGGCAGGAGAGCGCGCGCGCCCCTCCCCCCTGTCCTGGGGGGGGTTGGGTGGGGGGGCAGAAGAGAGGCAAAAGAAAAAGAAAAAGAGAGAGAGAGAGAGGAGGAGGCGGGGACGCGCTCCGGCGGTTCTCACCCCCACTCAGCGCGGCTCCGTTTTCCCCAGCCCCGTGAGGGGAGCGCGGCGAGAGCGAGTGGCCGCGGCCCCCCCCCCTCAGGTAAGCTGAGGCCGAAAGCCGCTCGCAACTTGGCAACTTTCCTCGCGCGAGGGAGGGAGGGAGGGGGCTATCTGCGCGTGAGGGGAAGGGGGCGCCCTGTGTGGGAGGGGAGGGGGGGTCCCTGCCCGGAGAAGTGGCCCCCTCAGCGCCCGCGAAAGGGGGAGGGGGGCCCCTTCCTCTCCTCTCGCTTCCCCCCCCCCGGCGTGGTTCGAGGTGAATCCCCTCTCATGCCCCCCCCCTAGCGCCTCCTGAGGCTGAGGTAAAGTGGGGGTCCAGCCACCTTGCGGGCTCTTCTCCCAGTCTCCTGAAGGGAGGTGGGGAGGGGGAGATGAGAGAGAGCGAGAGACGAGATGCCCCCCCCAAGCGTCCCTGAAGCTGTGGGAGGGGGGGGAGAGGCCACCTTGAGGGCTATTCTGAGGGGAAACCGGGGGGGGGGAGAGTGAGAGATACAGAGGAAATGCCCCCCCAAAAACACGTCCCCTGCGATTGGGGGTGGGTGGGCGGGTGAAGAGGCCACCTTGAGGGCTGTTCTGAGGGGAGATGGGAGATGAAAGAGAGAGAGAAGACCCCTCCAACGCCCCCTGAAACTGGGGGGGGGGTCTTCCACCTTGCTTGCTGTTCTGAAGGGAGACTGTGTGTGTGTGTGTGTGTGTGTGTGTGTGTGAGAGAGAGAGAGAGAGAGAGAGAGAGAGAGCAGAAGCCCCCCTCCAAGCGCCCCTTTGGGGGGGGGGGAAAGAAGCCACCTTGAGGGCTGTTATGGGAATATCCTGAATGTTGCTTGGTTGGGGGGGGAGATGAGACAGAGACACCAGGTTAAACACCCCCCCCCTCCCCGCAAATGGGGCAGGGGGCGCCTCTGCTCTCCTTTCGCCCCGGGACGCCCTGCCTTATTTGGGGCTGGGGGGGGAGGGCTGAGGGCCGGCGGAGGCTGACTGGCAGGGGGTTAACCCCCTCCTGCTGCTCCCCTCCCCCTCCCCCCCACCTCCAAAAGGGGAATTTTCCAGCTGGTAATTTCTGCTGCGTCAACACCCAGCTGGAGGGAGTGGAGAGGAGGGAGACAAGGGGGCATTTTTCACAGCAGAGCCACTTCGCCAAAGAAGACCAACCACCCCGGGCTGGGCTGATAAAGAAATATTTAATATAAGAAAAAAAAAAACTTTTCTAAAAAAAATTAAGCATCTGTGCAAGTTGGACCAAGAGTTCCTTAAGAGAGGGAGAGATAGAGTGACACCAAACTGCTTGGGAGAGAGAGAGAAAAAAAGGAATGAGGTAATAACGTTGATGAAACGTGTATATTTTCCCACTTTTTTTGCTTTCTCTTTCTGAACTCTTTAAAGCCATGCCGGTTCTGTTTGGGGTGATTGTCTCTTTACCTAAAGCCTGGCACCGAGTGCCTGGTCTTTGCCTCCATTTTAATTGCAGACAGGGGGAAACGTTAAAAGTCACCCCCGTACCTTGAAACCCAGCCTCAGAATGTAGTTTCCCTATAGCTATGGGAGTTATTCAAATTGTTTTCAACAACTTAAGGGACCAGTTTGAAAATATATGCAGGTAAGGACCTTTTAACAGAAGGGCTGTCCTTAGAAAATTAGTAGAGGAAAGAAGTCATAGGCTTCTTAAAAGAAAAAGGCAGTAGTGGTGTAGAGTTTTCAAAGCTAGCATTTTCTTTTTGTACGTGTAAATAGATAGGTTTGTTCTTAGATGTAATCTAAGTAGCCTTTTATAGGGAAATCCCTGATGACAAATAAAGCATAATAAATATTTCTTGTGGTATAAAACAGCGGAAGGTGGATTAACTGGAACAGATTGAGTAACTGAATACTTAAAGTGATATATATTTTTAATTTAGGACAAAAAATGTGTATGCAAGAATAGTTTCATTCTTAATTGAGTTTTCTCCCTATTTTCAGTTTCTTGAATTTGTTTAACATGGAGTACTGAGAGGATTATCAGCTTTGTTTCATGATAGTATAAAAAGGATATAGCAAGTACCTTTATTGAGCTGAAATGATTGTTATGTATCATAAAGCAGATCTGTCTATCTATCTATCTATCTATCTATCTATCTATCTATCTATCTATCTATCTATCTATCTATCTATCTATCTATCATCTGTCTGTCTGTTGCTTCTATTATAAGAGGCTTTGTCCAAAGAGAACTTTTGGTTTAAAATCTTCAACTCTCTGGAAAAGTTTTTTTCCAGGCATGAAGTGCATAATATTAGACAATTCTGTTTTATTGACTAGCTGATTTGAAATGATTTTATAGCAGTTGAATAAGCTACTATTAGTCAAGTTCATTCTTGAAATCTTTTTATGTGATACATATGTACAGTTTCAATACAGTAGAAGAAAATATATGTAGCTCAGGGTTGAACAGTGGAACACCAAGGACTCCTCATTTACAGTTTTAATTTATGTAATGGACAATTATTGTTTAACTATATCATATAACAGATTGCATTCTGTAAAATACTTGTGTCTTGATTTAGAACTTGTGCTACATTTACAGTATCAGCCTCACCACTAATTCTGGCTGTCATTTCCTCTGATGAAATACTACTTTTGCTGTTGGTAAATTAGTTCACTGATTGAAATTTTGTTCTAATAGAATGGGTTTACTTCAGGTTGTAATATATTCTAAAAACTGATCCAATTAATTTATCTGTTTTTTTTCCAAAGGGTAGTATTTACTAATTAGACAAACATTTTAATGACTGATGGGGAATATATAGGTCAGATCTTAAAATATAAGGAAAAAAGGGAAATGGGCCATATTATCCCTATGGCTTGTATTTTTAGGGAAGTTTTATAGTAGTATCGTAATTAGTTTTTTTCCAGGTGATGTATCTAAAAGAGATGCTTGAGTAATTTTATAATAAAACCTTGGCACACTTTTTGTGGGGAAGCTAGGATAGTACCTTACTAACTAAAAAGAAGCTAGCGTTATGTGACAGCTAATTTCATTTTCTACCTTATGTGAACTTTTTCAATAATACCTCACTTTCTTGTAATGTTCTTATTAATAAAAAATTGTATAGATTTACATATTTATCTCATTCTAGTTTATGTAAAAGTAATTTTAGCTATATTATGTCAAAGTATTTTTGGCTATTTTGGCTATATTTTTTTAATTTAATTGGTTAATAAGATGAAAAAAAGCTGAGTTAAAATCTTTGAAAACTTTCGTCTATCTATCCCTTTATCTCCTATTAGCTCTCTTTTCTATTCATAATTCCCTGAATTACTAATTTATATATAGAAAAACTATAATAGAATTAATAGTCTATTTGATATATTCTCAAATTCCTGTAGTAATGTACCAGTTAGTTAAAGGTTCAGTAGAGTTATTTTCATAAAATCTCTTAGTTCTACTGTTTAAGATTTTTTTTCAAATAGTAACAGTGCAAATTAAAAATTTAAAGCTAAACTTTCAAACTTATGTTGCAGTAGTACTAAAAGCCAACATTTTTAAGATGCCAGATTAATTATTCCACATTTGTTTTAAAAGCAGATTTGTAAGAACTCTGTACAGATAATTAATTTTTATTTTAATAAAAGGATTAAAATATTTTTGCTTGCAACACAAGTAATTGTACGCATATTTTGGAAAACAGTACTGTATTCAGAGATCTAGTCCCCATAATCTGTTTTATGTGAACTTAGTCTTTGTATCTGCTAACCATGTTCCATGTCTTACATTATAAAAAAAATGGGATCATATATTGTATAGTTAAACTATAGACGGTGCATAAAAATATATGCACTATAATAAAATCAGGACAATGCATGAATCCAGCCAGCAAGTCCTTATAGAAGTGTGATTCAGATTCAGAGTTTTGTGATTTTTATTACATTTGTTACTGATAAGTGATCAAGTGAATTGTATTCAATTTTGCAGAGAGTTAAAGAAAATGAAATATAAATAATTTTCTTAGAATGGAAACCAGTATCATAAAATAACAGAAAACATAAAATAAATTAGAAATAATGGAAAATTTAGCATTACAATAGTTAAAAATAGATATGGGACATAGATACATATCTTGAAAGCCATATAAAAAAATGAGAGTCTTTATCACAAATGAAAACTAAATATGAATAGACAATAAGCCACTACAAAAAAGAAAAACTCTGATGTGATATATGGCACAATAAAGCAACCAGAGTACAATGTGGTTTTATTTCCACATACAATGTAGAAATAAATAATCATTCTACTTTATTCTGCACTTCACATTTCTTATCTGAAATACTGGATCAAGATCTAGGCATATTACCTTTTAACAAGAAGGTAGAAAAGTGATTTAGACTAGAGGAAGGCAGTCAAAAAAATAGAAGTATACAAAGAAAGATATACTTTAATGTTATGTTAAAGAACTGGGTACCATTAGGCTTCCTTAATATAGGTATCCTCCAGATATGTGGATTTCCATTTCCAGAAATGGAAACATTGGATAAACATTGGATAAAATTCTAGGAGGTGCCCACACACAGAATCCCAGAATTTTAAGGGCTATGAAGGCTGGTCCTTTGCTCACAACATTTGCAGGGTTCCCGATTAGTTAAAACTTGGTTAAAGCTTGTATAACTGTCAGAGAAGAAGGCAGAATGGAGAATGGGAGATAAGAGGCTGATCATTTGGGATTTTGTAATAGGATATAGTTACTCGTTATATATGCACATATAATAATTCTTCAGGTATATATATTTTTGTACAGGTAGTATGTAGTATGATCCCAACTGAGCCCAAAATTTCTGTTGCTAAGCAAAACAGTTGTTAAGTGAGTTTTACCCCATTTTATGATCTTGCCACGGTTGCTAAGCGAATCACAACCGTTAAGTTAATTATGTATGTATATGTAGGGGTGTAGGTCTATACATATGTTGTATATAGTATGTTTAGGTGTGTGCCATGCATGTGTTCACTTTGAGAGCGGTCAACTACATTTCATTTTTGATGTGTGTCGTTGTGCCTGCAGTAAAAAATGATAATAGAG